ACCACAAACACACAACCACAAACACACAACCACAAACACACAACCACAAACACAACCACAAACACACAAGCACAAACACATCCACAAACACACAATCACAAAGACACAACCACGACCACAACCACAACTACAAACACACAGTCACAACCACTACCAGTACCACAGACACAATCACAAACTCACAGCCACTAACACAACCGCAAACACATCCACAAACACATAATCACAAACACGCAGCCACAAACGGGCCACAAACACACAATCACAACCACAACCACAACACAGCACACAACCACAACCACAACACACAACCACAGCACACAACCCGAGGACCCACAAGCAAAATCAAGAACTACAATACTCACGACCATGGCAACATGCTCCTCACTATGGCATCAAGACAAATGATTGACATGTCATGGTGGGGATCACTCGAAGTATAGTAATTCCAATGTTTACATGTGTTCACACCTTGCAAGATCATACAAATGATTTCATTCTGGTGCACAAAAACATTCTGAACCATGTTATATTTTTTTGCAAGCCTGTAATTCTTACCTCTCAAATCTGGGTGCTTACCTAAACCACCAGCCAGCTAGAAGCCACCCTCCACAGCAGGGACTGCAAAAGGGAGTTGGCGGTGCGCAGCCTGCCCCACCCGTCCTTCAGTGTACGCTTGATTACTTTTTCTTCAATCTCCTGGCCACTTGGAGCAAGGCCCAACCGGGGGGGGGCCGTGGCGAATCTGGATGTGCGGACGTGGCCAATCGGAGTGCCGGAGAAGCACCAGCACCAAAGTAAATGAGTTCACCAGCACCCAGCTGGGCCAAATTGGAGAAACCCTGATTGCACTCCCAAGTGCGCGGACTTGCGAGTTTTTGTGCGAGTATAGCTGGCCTTGTTCATCTCCACCATGCTGGGTGCGGTCATTTCTGGTCCCTTGTACCCAGCGCACTCCTGGAGGTTGGAGGAACAAGCTGAAATGGGCAGGTGGAATGGTCTGCAAGAATGTGTGATTATTAAATTATATGCACTATAATACTGTACATAGCGCTATTCTTTTGGTGACATCCACGTATCGTCCAACGCCCGACGTCGTGCTCTTCACTTCTTCGAACCGACTTGGTTCACCGCTCGTCACCGCTCGGTCACGCGTCGCCAGGCGCTGTGCTGGTGCTTGTTTCGTCACAGAACCGATCGGAACTCTGTGGAAAAGACGTTTTAAACCTCCAACATGGTCTGCATGTTTTCAGAAACTCGAAGGAACACCTTGACTGGAAGGAACAACTATAAACAACTATAAGGAACATCCTGTTAGAAGTTTCTCTTGGAAGATCTTGACAGCAAAAAACTTTCAACAATTTGTAATTCAAGACATGGCCTGCATGCAACCCTTCCCCTTTAGGCTCGGACAGGAGATCACACAGGAATTCCGGCGGAGGAGTTTTCACTCCGAATTACATTTATATAGCGAATTTAGTTTGGGGTAGAACTCCTCCGCCGGAATTCTGTTTGGAAGGTAACCTTATTTCATTGGATTCTGGAGAGAAACCGTTACCAAACCTGAAGAGTAGGGGCACTTGAAATGAAAAGCCTTCACGATTGGACTTTGCCCAAAAATATGTTGTGGCTGATTCTAACATACGAGTCCTTTGTATTTCAAAGAACAACCCATCCGTGGCGAACAGACAGGACAAAAGTAGGTAACAATCTTGTAAAACCATAACATCCAACTCTTCCCCTTCGAATCCTACAGGACTGGAATTACAATATTACTTCGGCCCCGAGGTTCGGGGTAGAAACTCCTCTGCCGTAATTCCAATTGGAAAGCAAGGTAGTCTCATTAGATTCTGGAGAGAAATTCTTACCAAACATTATTCCTCCTGAAGAAAAATATGTCTTGCAGCATAATTATTGATGTCTCGAAGACTCGAAAGACTACAAAACGAGATATTGGATACGTTGTTGTGGCACTGTTGGTTGTATCAAAATGATCAAGGGCACTTCTCTCCGCATGTCTGTTGTCCAAAAGCGCCACAAACACTGCTTGGTTGGGGTCTGTGAATTCTTAAATAGGAACGTTCAATTGTCGAAGCTAGAATCTAGTACTGTAACTTTATAAACATCTTTCATATGGTAAGGCCAGAATCTTTGACAAAAGAGTCGAACAAAAAGTCAAACTTGATAAAACCAAAAAACGGTAGCAACAAAAAATCACAAACGTCAAACATAGATCACAAATGATCACAACTCGAAAACATCAACAAATAAGTCAAAAGTGGAACACATATCAACAAGTGAAAAAAACAACATGTCAAACATATATCAAAAAACAACATGTCAAACATATATCACAACTTGAACATGTCAAAAACACATCAAGTATTAAAAAAGGAAAAACATCCAAACAACGTCGAAACACGTCAAAAATTCGGCAAACATAAATAAATAGACAACACATTTATAAAACACGTCAACAAAAAGTCGAACTAAGTCAACATTAGAAAACAATCCGAACATGTCAAACAAATCGGGAAGAACATTGAACAACTGTCAAAAAAGGGTCAAAATTAGAAAAACAAAGGTAAAATAAACAATTCGGATCTGGGCCAATTGACTTGTTTTACTTTCTGATGTGATTGTTTTTGACTTTGACGTTTGGGACTGACTACTAAGTTGACTTTTTGTTTCACTTTTAACATTTTGAAAACAAGCTCTCTCCAATGAATGATTTTTGTAATTAGTAAAATTTATCCGAAACGATACTCCTACCTATTTCTCTGACCCCTACACTGGCTGACAGTTTGCTGGTTGCAGCTCGAAGCTGTATGACCCTTGTGGGCGAGGACTTCACAAAGAGTGGACACAACCATCCTACACGAAGAGAAACCGATCGCCGCCTGACGCCTTAACCGCGCTGGGCTGGGTTGCGCCTTGGAGCGCACGGCCTTAGTGGGCTCAGCGTGCTGCGTGGAGATCACCACGGTGTGAATCTTCTGTGGCTCTACGGAGCCATCCTCCTTGCCCAAGTACCTCGAGAAACCGAAGAACGGCCAGCGGTTCCGACCAGTGCGACACGAGCTGCTTCTGGTCGTTTTGTGATCGCTCCTGCTTGGCATGGATCACGCATGACATGTGAACGCATGCAAGCGTGCAATAATTTTATCAATCTTCTCACATTGAGCAAAATCTTCTGCCTTTGGCAGTTCAGACTTGACCATCCACCTTCTCCAGTAGCATCATTTCTGAAAAGGTGACCCAACGAATCACTTCCCATGCCTTCGAAATGACAGCACTTTCTGCGATTTCTTTTTTTACAAGACCTGACACCCACACGATCTCTCTTACCCTCCGAAGCATTTTGTGCGCAGATTCCACACCTCTAGGCCTGGCAACATGAGAGAAGTCAAAAGCATCACCAATTAAAGATGAAGATCGACGGTTGTAAGTTGTGTCGAACAAGGGCATCTTGTCTATAGACTCTAGACACATATAGTGTATATATATATATAATATATATATATATCTTGTCTATATATAGACACATATAGTGTATATATATATATACCCTAGGGATCCAAGTACCTTCTCAGAAGATGATTGGAGACACTCTTATGTAGGTTTGGAGGGTCCAAGTACCTTCTCAGAAGGTACTTGGATCCCTAGGGATACTATATTCCGACCTTCCCACAATTCTTCAAAATTCGGAAGGGGTGTCAGCGCCAAGTCACTCGATAGTGACCTGGGTCTTGCCATCAGGACGAAGCCACCAAAGCTCACCACTCTTGCGCACGTCGGTGAGCCTTCGTATGGATCACATGAAGACCGGCGACAGCGGGGTGGTTGACACATGTCGACACCACGGGCTTGTCGCCCAAACACTTGGAAAGCCCAACAACCTCCAAACAAGAGCAAACACAACACATGCTACACAGCGGCAGTATGTCTTTCAGTCTCGCGTGACACCGGCTACATCCAAGGCTTGAGTGTTTTTCTTTTTTTGGACCGCTGGGGGACACCAACCAACCCTCCTTGAAGGACCAGCTCCTGTTTCACCAACGAACCCTTCAACTTCACCTCAGGTCGTCAAGCCAACAGTCGAAGCTCGCAAAGGTTGAAGGTCAAGATCAGGCGAACACATGTTGTTGTCACAAAAAAAACACAACATATAGAATAAACCTTGGTTCCAATGCTCAAATTCATGGTTTAACAGTAATTTGTAAGTGTGTTTGTATGTGTTTAGTTCTTGTATCCTACACCCTTTTTTTGGACATCAAGCTTGGTTCAAATGAATGTCTGTTGTGAATCTTGGTTCTGTCAAAGTGAGTCCGATGTCCTGTGAGTCGTTGAGTCGGAACTCGGGGGTGAGTCCGTTCCAAACCGTTCCAAAAAACATGTATCAAATCAAGTGGAGTCGTTTAGCTTAGTGTGTTTGGACCAAAAACATCCTGGAACTCTGAGAATGGGCTCTGCCCGCTCAGCTACAGCTACATGTACTTTGCAGCCGTGATGCTTCTTGCCCAGCCGCGTGGCGATGGAGTGCGTCAGTGGCATGCAGTCAGAGGTCTCATCGGTGGCGTACCCGAACCTCACGTCGCTGTGGAGACCGTCTCGGAACGAACGGCGGTCTCCACCGGTTTCGAAGCGATCGTTTCGGTGAACGCGGTGGAACTGGTTCGTCGCGGCAACACATCGGTGCGATGAAGAAATGCATCGAATGCTCCATTGAACATCGTCCGGTTCCAATTTCTTGGACGTTTAGAAGAACGTGGCCACGTGTGGCCACTCTCTGCTGGATCTGATCTGGATTTTTTGTGAGTCGCCTTAGACCTGATACCTGATTGGCAAGTGTCGTGGGAACCTCAGTGGTTGGGGGCTAGCTTCACTTCAAAACAGTAGGGAGGGGGATCGATCGGATATGTGATGATAACAGGAAGCATCATATACGCTTGACAAACCACCGATGCAAGGGATAAAAAATGAAGAGTTCAGTCTATAGGAGTGTTCGACAATGGAAGTGAGTGAGGATCTACAAGTCTGATGATGGCAATAGAATCAACACAATCTGTTCCATGACACCCGAAACACGACCCGCACGTTCCCCCGAATCTACGACGGACAGTCAACCGTCACAGTGGGACGTCTAAGATCGTCTATGTTACGACCTGGGCACTGGAAAATCAAAGCTAAGATCGATCACTTGGGTGGGTCCTGGTATGATGAACCCTACAGAATTTAAGGAGCATGTTTCAGGAGCCAATTGGTTACTACTACACAGTGCAAACCGTACCTTTACTGCGGTGCAAAGCCTCTTGATCGACGTGCTGGCGAGACAAAAGGAGCTTGTGGAATGTGTCTGGCTGAACATGTTTTAACAATTCCTTTGGAGAGAAATAACGTCAAACAAGAGAGTTCAATTCCCTCCACTACCAGTTGCCGATGATAACTTACTAGTCTCAGCAACATGCAAACAAGAGACATGATTCCCTGGTCACCAGCACCAACATCCAAGTCGTCCTCCGTTCTCAAGTAAAGTTCTCAAGTAAAGGCACGTGGGAACTCATTCCAATTTGAGCAATCATTCTCAACACTGCAAACATCTTTGGGATTGTCGATCATCTGCTCTATTTCCCCCAATAAATCCCTTGTGTTTAACTTTGCACATTGGACATGTTCATCTGTGAAGCTCTTAGGGCCTCTCAATCTCCTGGCCTTGCCCACGTGCACTCCGCCGGCAATGTCTGGACTCTGCTTGTTGATGCCTCGTGTTTGCCACGCACCATCCACAACGGGGGAAGGCGTTTGGGGCATCAACAAACCCGAGCCGCACATCATAACAAAAATAGCAAATCTATTGTGATAATGCGCTCTCTGATACACATCTTGTTTATCCGGTTTTAGATGGATTGAGGACATGACCAATCAAGCTTGTCAAACACTCACCAAAAAAAATCAATACCCTGCACCGCAGAGGTTTTGGAATGGAATACTTTCCAAAGAGATTTAAAATCTCGATAAGAGATTTAAAATGCAAAAAAAATGCAAAAACATGTTTTAAATGAAACAAACATGATAAAAAAATGTTAAAAAATGTTTTAAAAAATGATAAAAATGTTAAAACATAATAAAAAAATGATAAAAACTGATAAAACAATAACATGGCCAAAGTTTGGACAACGTAAGAACTTGTGAGAACCCATTGGGCATACATTGGATTAACATGTGACTAAAACGGGGTTGCATGGATGAAATCATAATCTCAACGATTAACAGTTTGTGAGCACTTGGTGAACCTATTTGTTTAAAGGTTTGAGAAAGTTAAACCAGATATGTTTGTACATGTTTCATGCGACCCTGCTCTGATCTAATCCTTCTCTGATCTAGGTGATTGAATTTTTCTGGTGAAACACGTGCTACCCTTTGCTATACCACTTTTGGTGTTGTCCTTTTTGTTTACGGTTTCGCAGGCGTTCTATCGACAAAAGCAAGCTCGCCTGCAAAATTCCATGGTTTTCTTCTGCAGGGTTCCCCTTCCCAGGTGGAGAAACTTTAGGTCCGTGGATCAAACTGCACTCGTTTTGTTACTGTATATAATGTTGTACTGTATATATAATATTGAAACTTATGACTTATGTTATACTATATGTATACATGCATGCAGTATCTTTTTCATGGTCTGGTGACGTGCCCTGTCTTGTACCTAGTGAATTGGATTGGAACAAAGGAGAAGCACCAGGTATTTTGTCTACACAGTGCAAAACTCTATTGTATGTGTACTCCTCATTTACAATGAATATAATCGGCAGACGTGACACGCAAAGATTAAACTCCTGAGCCCTTGCTTTTCCATATCTCCTTCCTCAATTGGGAGAGTTGGAGGTGTGAATTAAGCGGAGGCTGTGCCGGCTCTGCCACGTCATCGCCGCTTCATGAACCGCGACCGGGAGACGAACCAAGACCTCGCAGGTCTTGTCCGAAAGGCCCTTGCTATCCACTGAAGAAAGGTCATCCACAAAACCTCGAGGCGTGGCTGTTTTTGTTTCATCCAAACACCCCAGTCAACCATGCGATCGGTGCGTTTCGGTGTTGGCAAGATAGAAGGCCCAAATCTGTGCCTTCTGTCGAAGCGACATCGCCACATCATGAGACGCCATGTCGCCACATGAGACGCCCGCACGGGGGTGAGATCAAACCCAAACCGCGGCACCTTGATGTCTTGATGGTCCACCAAACCGATGCACCAAAACAGCTGTTCTGTTTGGTTCCTGAAGAACACGTGATCTAAAAAATCGAAACATCCCATGACTCATCGATTGTTCAGCGAACGCAAGTGACCGAATTCACGTGACGTGGACACCGTGTCTCGACGAGACGCGGTGGGTTCCCCGTTTTTCTCAAACGGTCGCCGTGACGCTATCGAAGCCAATCTGTGCCACGACCCCACGGACCACCTGAGTCGGATGGCCAGTGGGGAGGACGACGAATGGTACAAGAGGGACATGTACAGGGTAACTTTGGTGGTGGCATCTTGTTCAAGATCAGTTTCCCGCCCCAGAAAAGGCACTTCCTTCAAATGGATCCAGAAAACGCAGCCACAGCCATGCAACAAAAAACCATACATCATACATCTATTCCAAAATTCCAAAAGACTATGGGCCAGAAAAAGGAACTCCTAGTGCAGTGACTACGATTTGTGATTGACATTCCTTAGGTCAGCGATCCAGCTAAGCACCACCGTGCCTCAAACAACTGTACCCTTCAAACACCCCGTTTTCATTTAACAAAACAACCAACACCTGCGTGACCCAATGGATTTCTGTGACTTTTTGGCAACGCCCCAACATCTGCAGTTTCATGACTCTAACGCGCAACATCCAATGGTGCAATCGGTGCAACGTCACATCGGATGTCTCGAGATACCCCTGGTCAGGCTGACCAACCAGTCCCCTCAAGTTCATGTGTTCTGTGTTGGAGTCTTAGACAGTCTTTCCTGATGACTTATGACCCACTCTGCCATGTTTGGGACATTTCCACATTAATCTATTCTTCTGTGCCAATTCCAAGTTGAGTCATCCATCATCCAACATCATGCACCCCTTGTTAGATTCGAATGCCAACTCTGTGCAGCATGCACGTAGCTCTAGACTCTGCCCCGCCTTCTCATAGTCCAGCTTAGCCTGGGTGGTGATCTCACCCGCCACCATGACCATGTTGTCCTGTTGAGTCTGTCGAGAGACTTCTTTCATGTATGTGTATATATAAAATATTATATATATATTAAAATATTATGATTTAATATATAGCAATGATTTGCAAATTATACTCAATTATGTACCTGCATTGGGTTGGTTGACCCAGGGTCCAGTCGCAGGCATCTACGGTCCCAAAGATCGTGTTTGAAGCAGCGACAGAGGTGACCGACCTTCATCCGGGATGTTAAGTCACAGCTCGAGTCATCGGCGGGTTTCCCGTTTTCTGTGCCCTGGCTTCGTGGGGTGGTTCAGCGGCAAAAGTGTGAAACCGCAGATCGTACTCGACGAAAACCGTACCTGCACCCGAAGCAAGCGAAGTCGCGCGCCGCGTAGATGCACAAGTCAATCCTATAAAATCTGAACTTCCCAGATTTAGAATACCACCACGAATAGGAAGGAATATCCTCGTGGTGGCATCTTTGATAAATCTGACCTGTCCTTCCTAGAATATCAAGGATTCCACCACGAGGATCGGGCAATAAGCTTAGCTGCGTTTAGCTTAAAGCATCATTTTTGGGCCAATGCCTCTGGACTAAACACATCCAGTGCTTGGTCTTTGTATATATATATATATGTCTAAGTACTTGATGGTGCTTGTCACTTCCTGTATCATGCAGGTGCTTCTAAGGGATCACCACTTGACTGACTCAACCCCGAAACACTCCATACATGTCCATTCCTTTCACGCTCCTTGGTCACTGTCTCGCAGGCCACCTTGGACTTGGGATCATCCTGCAAACATGTGACATCCGCGTGCATTCGGTTATGTTGATATACATAATATATATATATATATATTATGTTGATCAGTTCAATCACGTATACCTGCACGGGTGATGAAGCTGAAGTCCATGGTAGTTGGTCCCGTTCCGATCATGCCTGGTGGTCCTGGCTCCTAAGATTGGGTTCTCGAGGTTCTTGGATAGTCAAGACAGGTCAAATGCAGCCAAGTGGGTGTGTAGCTCAAAAACCTCCCAGGCAAGGACCCTGTGGACGAAGGGAAATAGACCACAATCCATAGTTGGGGGTCTCCCTATTGAAATACACACCCAAGTGAGTGAGACCCTTCCTCCGTAAAAACCACCACACAGATACCACCACTGACTGGATTCGTGGCCTCTTCGGTCTGGTCTTGCGGCCTCTTCGGCTCCGGTCTCCATCAGCTTCGCAAGTCTTCGCTCAAACAGCCTTCGAGGAATGGTTCGAGCCTTCTGTCCTTGAGGCATGCGTCCAGAACAGCATCAGAGACCTGCAGGGAGAGACTTGTTTTTATTGATTCAGGACTTGGGGTGTACCGGTGTACCAGTGTACCAGCTCTATTTCAAAGATTGGTGTCAATTAAAGTTCATCTCAATGAATGGTGTTCTATTTTTTTGCATTGTGTTGTAATCACAGTAATTAAAGAAAATCATAGACTGGATTTTTGGAACGGGCATCCCAACACTTGACATCCCCGATTTCAAACCCACAACTGTTGATTTGTAATCCTTTACACTATGAGTCTATCACCGATGCTCAATAATAGCTACAGTAGCTTCCTATTAACTATAGAACTTACTCACCCCCGCTTGGTCAGCAAAGCTGGGTGGGACCAGACCGAAACAGCGCCCTCGCCTGGTCGCAAAGCTTGTCTGGATGGCCTTCGTTCACTGACTCTGAGGAGAAAAGGAAAGTCGTTCGCCCGGTTCGGGCCTGGCGCTTTGTACCGCTTGCGAAACGGAGACGTGCAGCTGCAATTGTGTGATTGTGGGCGTTTATAGAATATGTTCTATTGGTAGATGACGACAGAAGTGACCAACTTGTGTATTGTCTTGCATATATCTAATGTATGCTAATGAATTATATTGTAGTTGTACCAACAATTTGACTTGCAGACCCGTGTTGTGCCCCGCAAACAAGGGACTTTTCCTTGGCCAGCATGGGCTGGCACTTGTATTGTTTCTCAGGAGCTGATGTGGCATCACAAGCTAAACAATGTCACAAACCTGTCAAAAGAACCATGTGCGATATGTGCTCACCGAATCTTGAGAACCAGGTTCCGGCAGTTTTACCTGACCGGTGGTCTGTGGTCTTTTTGCTTAATTTTGCTTATAACACTTTTTTGGCAACTGTCGAGGTTAACAAAGAATTTGGTTTGCTGAGACTCCTAGCTTGTTGTGACCAGTGTTATTTTTTGTGATGCTTTGCCTAGCATGAGATGTTTCATTTTTGTTCGCCAGACGGTGACCCAGGTTGGTTTGCAACCCCTAAGAAGCAGCTTCACGGCTCGTCCAAAGTTCGAAGGTCTGAGGGGTTTGACACACTGTCCTGTTCGGAAGTTCCCACGTCGCGGCGTCATCATGGTATGTGGTGTGGCAGGTCATGCATCTCCGGACTACTTCTTCAACATTATTAGACTCGCATGGGCATTGCCCTTTGATGTAGCCGAATCACGCAGTATTCAGTGCAGCCGTACCGCCCCAGAGTCCCATTCCCTGCACCCAATTAAGACGGCCACGTACTGTTGTGTTCCTTTTAGAAAGGGGTGCGTCTTAATTTGGATGCTGTTTTTTTCTTTGGATATTTTGTTCGCATCCTATGATGCGCCTGCAAAAATCTGTCGACAACGCTGCTCTGCACTGCTGACATTAGCTGTGGATGTAGAGGACGCGATGTCCAAAACGTTGCAAATAAAAAAAAATACCGACAGGAAGTCCAGACAGGACACCCCAACTGCTGTCAAGCAAAGAAATGTAACCCTCAACTGCTGACATTGCCTGCGGATATGGAGGGTGTATGTCCAAAGGGTTGTAAACAGGATTGCCAAACTGCTGTTTTCTTGCAGCGATGGCGCCAGCGATGGCGCCTCCCCTCAAGAAGTTCCAACAAACAGGCTTGCTGTTTTGGATGCCAGCCTAGCTCCAGCAAATGAGCCAATCAGATCCAATAAGAAGCAATGATGAGTCAGCTTGAGAAGACGCGCAGATTCATTTGATTTCATTTGTGTTGCTTGTGCAGTGCAGCGTGGTCGAAATTTAGCATTATTTTGGGACTGGCGCTGCAAGTGTAAGAAATAGTACAGACTTCGTGGCTGGAGAGGGGTTGGGGTGGAGGCCCAGTGCCTTCCCCCTGACCTCACCCTGCTTCTCTGCTACTCGTGCAATGCGTCGGGCTAGCGCTTCTGGAATCTTCTGGAACTGTGGCCACCGATGCACCAAACCCATACTCTGTGCTTGCATCTGTCGCAGCTCAAGTCTGCCAACCAGTACAGTACCCACAACAGAAAACTGGCCACGATCTTAGTCAGGACACGGGTTGGAATGCGCCTGACTTGACGGTCTTGTTGGGCCTGGACGAAATCATTGACACAGCTGAGATTGACAGTTTTGGCCGCCTCAGCAAATCAAACCACTGCAAAGCGCCTTGCTTCGGGGAGACGGATCTGCTTGTGTTGAAGGCGCAGCACTGCAACCGCACGGGCAACACACCGTGTAGGAGCCATGGCCAGAAAGAAACCTCTTTCCACGCTCATTCCAACAAGTGGCGTCAAGAGTCAGAGTCATTGACATCCTTGGCAGCAATCTTCTGGACGCCCTGGGAAGCCATCTCTGTTACCAGGGCCAGCTGTGCTGAAGATCACAACGTCATCTGTTGGCGGGCCGAAGACCAGTTGGAAGGTCGAAGGGGTAGGGGCATCACGTGAGAGCGCAGCATCTTGCGTCAAACCGGCATCATGGCAAAGCGCGAGGAGCTCCCCTTGTGCCACGTAAGAAGACCAACTGAAACTCATGGGCCACACATGTGAACCGGAACGGAAACAACACCCCGTCTCGCCAGGCTTCACCAGATTGCAAGAAAGTCTTTTGCTCTGCAGCACACATCCCTGCTTCTGCCACCAAAGCTGAAGGAGACGCCAAGTCTCAAGTGTCTGGGACAGAGGGGCGGTTGCCCACAGCCGATACAGTCCCACCAGCCAAGGCCCGACAAGCCAACCCCAGCTTGCCACATTGCAACTGCTTGATCACCAATTGTACAAATTCACTGCTCTGAATCCTCAAAATGTTCAAGGCCATTCAAGAAGATTGACTTTGGCAGCTTGTCAACGCGACTGGCGACCAAATCAGCAAACTGAGGACCTGTACTCCATTGTACTCCGGTCCGGGCACCCAGTCCGGCAGAAGATGTTCCCACTGCCCATGGTTGGCCACTACAATCTTCTGGGCTGCAGTATGCCTAGGACAACAGGAAGCTTGATGCTGTTTGCCATAGAGCTAGTGCAGCACATCCAGAACTGTGTCGACATACGTGCGGAACACCAGCCATCTCTGTTTTCGCCACGAGGCTGGCATCCACTCAAAACCAGACAGGGGAGCACATGGAAAAAACAAAACACGCTTTCAATATCACAGTGTCGGCAAACTTGAAGTTGGCTTAGGAGAACGTCGATGAGGAACGGAACACGCA